GAACCAGTTTTCAGGGTACCCCTTGCTCCTTGACAACCTGCTCAACCCACCGTGTCATCCCCTGCCAGACCCATTCTACCCCATCACTCACTGGTGATGATGTAGAAGATTTTATCATTCACCCCTGTGTCTTGGTCGATGGCGGTGACAGTCAGCACAGTGGTGCCCTGTGGGGACATGGCAATCAGGGCAGGACCTATGACATCTCCAGCTGCCCACAGGCCTGGAGGCCCACACACTTCAGGGCATAAGAGCCCCCAGGGAGGGCCAGGGGCAGGAACATGACAATGGGACAGGCAGGCTCCTGACCAGGTCACAGTTCTCAGGCACAGAACCCGAGTAGGGGTCATTGAGGAACCGTGGATCCAGGTTGGGCACGTCCTCAATGATCACGGACAGGTAAGTAGAGCTGTTCTGGACGATCCAAGTGTTGTTCAGATATCCCCCTCCATCCTGAGGAGCAGAGCACCTGTCAGTCCCACAGCCCCCTTACCTGGCAGCCCTGCACCCCCAGCCCGGATGGTCCCCACCTCAGCGAGGATCTTGATCTGGTAGAAAGTGTTCTTGGTATAGTCCAGAGAACCATTGAGCACCACACTCCCATTGGACAGGATGTAGAAGAGCTGGAGATTCTTCGTGTTGTCTGGGGTCACCTGAGCAGGGAATATCAGCCTGTGTCACCAAGGCAGGGAGCAGATGTGTCCCAGAAGAGAAGAGGGCTCAATCCCCATCCTTCTGTCAGTCTTGGCCCATGGGGACCCCCGACCACCTGGCTCATCCCTGGCCTGAAACTATTCAGCACCTTGCACCCATTGCCCAGTGGGTGCTGATCCAAAACCTCCCTGCTTCCCCAGATATATGGGTCTGTCCTGGCCGTATCCCCCAGCACCTCAGCACCACAGGGGTGGCCCAGGGGTGGGGTTTGGGTATGGTATGACCTATTCCCCAATGCTCTGTGCTCACCTCCTCGATGCGGTAGCTGACTTTGGAGGCGTTCCCAGTGTCGATGTCGACGGCATACACAGTGTAGATGATGCTGCCCGGACTCTTGTTCTGGGTACACAGAGGTGGTGGCAGAGCAGGGGGGTGATGCTGGGCCTGGACCCTGCTAGCCCTGCCCTGGGGTGTTCTGGCCCTGGAGGGCTGCAGGTAGTGCCCAGTGCCATAGGACACACAGGGACGAGCTGCTAGCCTTGCTCAGGCCAGGCAGAGGCTGGACCCCCTTGTTACCCTCCCTGGGGCCTCTTGGGAGCAGAGGCTATACCCCAGCCCTGGAGTTGCTGGATCGGGGTGAGACTCAGCCCCACACCCCATCTACACTTTGATCCAGCACCACGCTGTCTTGGGCTGACAGGTAGCTTGGGCACACCCTGAACAGAAACTCAGTACAAGGGCAGAGTCCCAGTCTCATTCCAGTGTCTTAGGTGACACAGAGGCTCCCATCAGGAATTGCCCTGGCACAGAGTCCTCCCAGGTACTGGCTGTGCCATTGATGACTCCTTGCCCAGATACACTGTCACCACACACCCAGGTGTGGGGTCACAGAGTTCCCAGCCTGTTGTTGTCCCATTGCTGACACTCCCATGCCACAGGAGCCACTCAGCACCTCTGCCCTGCTGCCTGTGGAGGCTGGGAGGTCCCAGAAAGGTACCTCGAGGACGGTGGCAACATACGGCAGGTTTTGGAAGACTGGGGCGTTGTCATTACGGTCCTCCACGATGATGGTAATTTTTCGGGAGACCTATCAAGTATCAGAGAGGGCACAGGATGGGTGTGTGGGAGATGGTGGACAGCAGAGCTGGGTGCAGTTCTGGCACCCCATGCCCACCCTGGCCAGCCAGCCAGCATCACACACCCACTTCCAATTGCCTTCCCACTGAGCCTTGTCCATGGACCTGTCCATGGGAACTCCCTTCCCGCTGCAGCCACCCCACCCTTACCCCAGCACTCACCGGATCATTTACACCATCAGACACTATGGCAGTGATGGTAAGCCTGGCCTGGACCTGAGGGGACACAAGGCAGGACTTAGTCAGGGCCAAGGTGGAGCTCAATCCTTGGACAGTTGACCCCCAACCTCTGTGAGGACAAGTCTCCCTTCAGGAGCAGGGTTTTGGGGCCAGGGAGTGACCCACAGGCTCTGCCGTCCATCCCCATACCCCCCCACTCAGGCAAGGACATCTGACCCCATCCTCTGCCCACACCTCACGGTCCAGAGAGTTCATCAGTGTCACTCTGCCCGAGCTGGAGTCAGCAAGGAAGTAGAAGGCATCTGTCCCTCCGATTTGGTAGGTGAGAGGGTCGTTGTCTAGGTCATAAGCCACCAGCTGGAAAGCAAACTGGCCTGGGGGCACATGCAGTGTCAGCCCCTGCCTGAGAAGCCCCCAGTCACTGCTCTGTCACCCCAGGGTCTTCTCCAGACCACCCTACTCACCCAGCTGCAGGTCCTCAGGCACGTAGACGATGGTCATGTTGAAGATGGGGACTGTGTTGCCTGAAACTACGGGCAAGAGGAGCTGAGCACCATCACAGTGCTGGGCTCTGCTGGTAGCCCTGTGTCTGGCAGCACCTCCTCAGCCCCAGCCCCAGCCCCAGCCCCAGCCCCAGCTCCCAGCCATGGTCTGAGTCTCCATGGGAGGCAGGGAACCCCCATCCCTCTTGTTCTCACGCTTATCCCACACCTCCAGACCACACTTCTCTTCCAGCTGTAGCCCCCATGCTTTCCCTACTGTCCAGCCCTGCCCTGCCCTGGCTGTCCAGTGGGGCAGGCAGCTGTTTTGGGGTTGCAGCTTCCCCCAGGGAATGGAGAAAGAGCGTTGGGGGTTGAAAGCAGCTCCAACACCTCCCACGCACCCATGCCAGATGCCCATTACCTGTTGCCAGGAGAAAGGGGAGCAGCACCAAAGAACGCCACGCCATCCTGCCAGGATGCCTGTGGGCACACACCAGGGAACAAGCACCTGAGAAACTGAGACCTGCCCCCCAAATCCCTCTCAGGGAGCAGCCACCGGGGCAGGAGAGGTGTTGGTGGGGACAATCCCCTCTGCTGAGCTGGGCTGGTGAGAAAACACCAGGCTCCACACTGCACTCCTGGCCATGGGCTCCATGAGGACATGGGATAGGAGGACAGGGTTGATCTCCAGGTGGAGGAGACTATAGGTGTGCCTGTCCTGGGCATGGCTGGAGGCTCCATTGCTTGTGCCCAACAGGGCCTCCCCAAGCAGTGCTTGGTGCCCAAGAGCAACCCATGGCACGACCATGGTGTCTCTCTCCTTGTGCCAGGGCCTGTGGGCAACTCCACAGCTAACGGACACCCCTCCCCATGGAGCAAGGTGCCTGTGGGGGCCGGGATAGGGGCTGACATCCCTTACCTGTGGCTGTGTCCCTGGGGATGCTGCCTCTGCACTCGCATCTTGACACTGCCAGACCTTTGCCTCCTGCAGTAAACACATTCATCAATGATTAACTGAAGTGAAAGGGTAAGAAGTCCCTCTCCTGTCTTCCGTATTCCTTGTGCTCATCCCACAGCTCACACCCAGCTCAGCTCCAGGCTCACTCCCCAAAACCAGGTCCCCGGGTATCCACATTGGATGCTGTCCCTCAGGATTCAGCCACCCCAGCCTGTATCCATAGGACCCTAGCTCCCAGAAGGGGTGTGGAGCCTGCAGGGATGCAGAGGGATCCCAAACCACCCCAGAAGACCAAGGAGGGGTTAGGGAAATGCCCTGCATCCCCTGGGCTGGGGACATTGGGGTCCTACCAGGACAGGGGGTGGGCACCAACCTTGTGGTGTGGCCACTGGGGCGGGTGTCTGGGGCCCCTCTGCACCCTCTGCCACCCATTCCCCTCCCCAGGGGCTTGGCCCAGCCTCCCTGACCTACTTTAGACCTGCTAGGGACAAGGGGGGATTGTCCAGCTCTGCTCAGGCAGAAAAGGGCTGGGAGGTGGCGGTGGGGGGGCATGGCCAGTCTGTTGGACCCCTGCATCCATGGCCCTATTCCCTGGGGAACCCAAAGGGCCTGGATACTGGAGAAACTCTGGAGTCTCCCCAGACACTCAGCCTGCTCTCAGGTTCCCATCTCACCCTACACCTGGGTCAGAGAACTCCCAGAGAAGGAGCTACAGGGGACAGACTGTGACCACTCCTTAGCAAACCTCTCCTGAGCTGGTCCAGGACCATCCCAGCTACTGCAAAGGCTGCTCCAGAACATCCTCCCAGACACCCCATGAGCTGCCTGGGTTATCCCTGGAGACTCCCAGGGCTGTCACAGGGTGCCTCCCCAGACACTCCTGGGGCTGATGCTGGATACTGTTCTGCAAACTGCCCCTGGCTGTCCTGGGGCACTTCCACACCTTCCTGAAAGGAGGTTGTAGCCAGGTGGGAGTCGACCTCTTCCGCCTGGCAACCAGTGAAGGTTAAGGTTGGACATCAGGAAGAATTTCTTCACGGAAAGGTTTGCCAGGCATTGGAATGGGCTGCCCAGGGAGGTAGTGGAGTCACCGTCCCTTGAGGTGTTTAAGGAAAGACTGGATGTGGCATTTAGTTCCATGGTCTAGTTGACATGGTGATGTTGGGTGATAGGTTTGACTGCATGATCTCAGAGATCTTTTCCAACCTAATTGCTTCTGTGATTCTCTAATTCCTGGGTTTTTCCCCAACTCAGTCCCGGGTGGCGTTCTGCGCTGTCACTCGGAGCATTACGGCCGAAGAGCTCTGCCGTGCAGTTTAGCGGCGCCCTTCTTGCGTTCATTACGGCAGGAGGCGGCGGGCGCGCCCATCGGCACCGCGCGGTGGGGAGGAGCAGAGCGGCGCGGCCGGTTCCATCGGCGCGGTGGGCGCGGGGGCGCCATGAGGCGGGGCTGAGGCCGGAGCGGGAGCGGCACCGGGACTGGCACCGGCACCGGGACGGACACGGAGCCCGGCGGGCCCGGCCGCCGCGCCATGCGAGCGGGCTGAGCGGCGGGCAGCGCCGGGGCACGGCACCGAGCGCCGGGGGCGCGCCTCCCGGAGGTACGGGGCGCGGCGGCGGCCGCAGGCCCGGGCTGTGCGGGGCAGGGCCGGGGCACCAGGGGGAGGCGGCGGGCAGGGCCCAGGGCTGGGGGAAGAGGGAAGGGGGAGGACAGCCCCGGGGCAGCGGGACGGGGAGGGCGGCGGGCAGGGCCCAGAGCGATAGGGCGGATGCTGGGCCGCGGGGCCCGGTGCGGCGGGCGGAGGAGCGAGCGCGGCCCGGTGCGGCGGGGGTGGCCGGGCCCGGTGCGTGGAGGGGGCGGATGGCCGGCGCGGGCGGGGGTGGCGGCTGCCGGGGCATTGGGGTTCGGGGAAGCGGCCGTAAAGCGCAGCCAGGCCCGGTGCAGCCGCAGGGCGGTGGGAGGAGCCCCCGCTGCTGGGGGAGCCCCGCGGGGACAAGGGGGGCAGCGGGAAGGCAGCCGGAGCGCTGCTGCCCATGCCCGTGGGGGCTGTCCGAGCCTGCCCCGGCCGGAGCCCCTACTTGGGGTCTCCCGCGACCCCGGCCGGGCGGGAGTGAGGGGCTTCTGCTGATGCTGGTGCTGTGTCCTCGTCCCGCTTGGCATATCGCGGTGTCCCGTCCGCCGTTCCCCCGGACCCGATAAACTGTGCCAGCTCGGGGCAAGCCCCGGTGTGGGATAGGAGGCGAGAGGGGAAGTGGTGAAACTCTTCTGAAAGTTGTCCCTGGGGAGGAGGTAGGAAACAAACGAGCCCGAAGTGACGGGGGTGGGGGTAGTGGCAACCGGGGTGGTGGCACTGGCACAAGCCGTGCCACCGGCCCGGCAGGATCTGTGCTGGCAGCGTGGGCTGTGTGTGGGGCCTGTGGCAACCCTGTACCACGGAGGACGTGTGGGACCGCGTTGTGGGCAGCTGGGTTGTGCTCCAGGGTTTGCTCTCCCGGGCAGGAGCTGAGCTCTGCGGCTAGGCAGGTGCTGTTCCTCCGTCTGGGGACAACCCCTCTTCCCAGGAGCCCGGCTCTATTTTGTGCTGGTACCTTGTCCACCAGCTCTGCGCAGACCCCGTGCTCCAGCACAACTGGCTGTGTGTGCCTGCAGCTCCAGAGATCATCTCTGCGCTTGCCTTATTGTTGTCCTGTGCCAGTGCCTTGCCCTGTCCCTCTGTCACCTGCGCCGATGTCCCTCTGACGCCCCAGGACCTCGAGGCCCCCCTCGAGGTGGGGTCGTGTGCCCCGGGGAGATGCGCAGAGCAGAGCCCGGCGGGGCAGGTGGGTCCCCGGGGCCAGGCAGGAGCCCCGGGAGGAGGAGCAGCTGTCGGAGGAGAGCCGGCTGCGTCTGATGTCACTGCGGTGCATGGTGGGTAATTATGCACGTTGCAATGAAAATAATAAGGCCGGCTCCATAGTGGTGTCTAAAAATACTGCTAATGCGGAGTGCCTGCTGGGCGCCTTTGTTTGTCACCTTTGGGTGTCTGCTCTGGGGCTGGCCAGGTGGTGTCACACCCCTCAAGCAGTGGGTTAGGTTTAGCAGGTGAACTGTGGGTCCTCCTTCCCCCCCGCATTGGGACACGATGCCAGTGGAGACAGGGCAGGTGTTGGCATGGGAGGTGAGGCAGGAGGCACCTGTGCTTGTTTGGGAGGCTCCAGTGCCACCTCCCTGCACGCAGCCACACAAGGAGTCTCAGTGGGGTGGCAAGGCTTTGTTCCCCTAGCCTTGCTTAGAGCTGGACACTCTCCAAGTGATGGTTTTTTTGTGTCCTAGAAATCTGTCCTGATATCCCCTGGCAAGTAGCTGGTTCGAGTACAGATCAGGATTTGGGCCCTCGTGGTGTGGTCTGTCCACCACTGGCATCATGTGGCCAGGGCAGAACTCACTGGAGCTGGGGCTGCCAGACCTTCCCTCTGCAGCTGCCACCATGGTGTGTCTTGGCACTGACAGGACTCAGACTGTGGCAACTTGCTGCTTTCTGGCTGAGCAGAGGTGGGAGGGAGGAAGAGATATGCACCTGGAACAGAGGGAAATGATATGATAGGTGCTAGGGGGCACCTGGGTGCTGGCCCAGGCCAAAGGCTGCCCAGCACTCTGATGTCCACTCCATAGGCTCTGCCTGGATGCTCTCAGAAGCTCTGGCTACTGCTGTGGTCCCTCCATCTGCTGCCAGGCTCTGGAAGCTCCCGCTGCAGCGGAGGGAGAGGCTTGCAGGGGTGGCGAGAGCCATCTGGAGCCTGCTGGCCTGGCAGGCTGGCAGGGGGAAGGTGTTGTGTGGCAGGGCAGCAGCAGAGGGCTGGGAAGGGCAGGAAACACTGAGCCTGTGTGCCTGGGTCTCAGTGACGAGTCTCTTCCGCTTTGTGTGCAGGGAGGTCAGAGAGGTGGTGGCTGCTCTTGGTTCCCAGCTGGTGCTTGCGGTGGGTTCTGGCTCCAGCTGTCAGCTGTGGGAGCTGAGCCTTGTCCCTCTTCACTGTGGAACAAATAGGGAGATGTCACCCTGCTGGCATGCTGCGCTGCTTTGCCTTTAGGGCCATGGCTGTGTTCCTCACTGGAGGAGGAGCATCACTGCTGCCTCTGTTCTTGCCAGGCACTAACTCCCACCTCTGAAGCCACACGTGGCAGTGGTGCTCCCCTGAGCAGTGAAACTCACTATCCCTACCTGCTGCGCTGTGTGGCTCCCTTTGGTGAGTGAGGAACAAGGAATGGGGTAGGAGACTTTGCAAATCCCATTGATCCACACCGTGGAAGCTACGTCTTTGCTTGTCCAGGACCAGGGCCCTGTGAGGGGAATTGATCAAGCTGTAAAACCCAGAGCCAGCTAATGAAATAGGGACTATAGATTTTTATTTTAAATGGAAGAGAGTTTAGGAGAGATTTAATTATCCTTGGTTTATGGACCTGTTAGGGGAATGAAATAGCAGCTGGCAGGTAAGGGCTGGGCTTCAGCTCACAGCACTTTTCTCCCAGGTTGTCTGCAGAACTGCCCAAGTCCTGCCCAGGGTAGAGTTGGGAATGTTGTAAAGTCACTCGGAGCAGAGTTAGACAGGGTGAAGTCCTGCTTATCCTGCTGGGTGTCCCTGCTTCCTGCCGGCAGTGTGTGTGCTGAAATAGCAGAGGGGCTGGCCCTGGACAAATGGGACACATGTATGAACAGCTCTCCTTGGTCCCTGAGGCTTGGTGTGGGCCAGTCCTTGTGCTAGTGGACATCAGAGAGTTCAGGAGCCCCGTACTCACTGGGCTGTCCCCCTCTAGGTGTCATTTTCCTGGGGCTGTGGACACCGAGCTCTCACTGATGGCCGTGTACCTGCGCAGTGTGTGGAGTTTGTAAAGGAAAGCTGCAGAGCGCTGGGATTTGCTGGGCTCAGCTGTGTGTTGGACACAAGCGGTAACGCTGTCACTACAGCCACTCCTCCTGTGTGCATCCACTCCACTGTCACGTGAGGCCGGCCGCGGGGCACGGCTCGGGAGGTGCTGGTGGCAGGCGGCACGGCACTGGTTTTCGGCAGAAAAGCCTGACTTCTGGATGCTTTTGGGGTTTTCACCTCTTTATTGAGGAGTTGGGGCACAGCATTTTCCCACCATCCCTTGGCTCCCTGCTTGGCCCAGTCTGGAGAAACATGGCTTGTCACCTGCTATGTGTGGGTAATTGGTTGGCCAAGGGGTTTGTGCACTCACCATGCAGGCACTGCCGGTAGGATGCCATTCTGATGTATCCAGAGGCTGCTGAAAAATCCAAGGAAGCTGCTGGTGCTGGGGAGCTCTCCCAGAGCCCTCCAACACTGATGCAGGAACTTGGGAGAGCCAAGCCCTGAGCCCTGCGGTCATGGAGCTGCATGAGGATGTTGCGTGGCTCCCTGAGGCAGGTCAGTTCCAGAGGGAAGCAGTGTGGATCTGTGCTGTCAGCTCAAGGGTGTTGGGAGAAGCCAGCCTCCTGACTCTCTGGGCAGCAGAGCTGCACCATGGTGCTTATCCTTTCCTCCACCCTTGCACCTGCAAGTCAGCAGTGTTTCAGGGCAGGAGCTGTTTCCTGGAGGGCATAAGCAGACTATGGGGCCCATGTCCAGTGTGGCACGTCTGGGTTTTCTGGAGTGGGGTGGTTTGAGAGGGTTCCACACTTCGCTGTGTGCATGGCAGAGCGTGAGTTTGAGCAGTGTCCCCAACAAGCAATGCTCGTTGCAGGCCTTGGGAATATTATTTTCCAGCTGCAGGCTGGTCCCTGGAGACCTGCTCTCACTGTCTGCAGAGCTGTAGTTCTGGGTCTTCCTTGGCTACCCTGAAAGCAGGATGAAGGTTTTTAGCTCAACCATGCAGAGCAGAGGACTGGCCTGGAGTGTGTTAGGAGCTGCTTTCTCTCTGGTGAGCCTGTCTTGGTGATCCAGGCCTCTGGCATGTCTTGCTGTCACCCCTGGGAAGGGAGGGCCCATGTTCTGGTCCTTCTTCCCCCAAGCCTGGCAATGCTCAGGCGCAGTCCCCTCCGGCAGGTTGTCTTTTCCCTGCTGTGCTGGTGGGGCTCCCTAGCTGCGTTTGCATTTTGAGCCAAGTGTTTTAGTTGGTTTTCTCTCCATGCCTGTGCTTTGGGAAAGTGGTGAACAATAAAAATCTGCCGTTGAGAGCTGTAGCAGAGGTCAGGCAGCTCCTGTGCCCCAGGCTGCTCTCTTGTCACCGCACAGTTGCGCTTTGTGTGCAGGGGCTGTCAGCTTGAAAGTCATGTTTTTGCTCTTAAAACCAACCTCAGGCACTGGTGTGGGGTTCTCTGAGTGATGTATATTGCAGCAAACCTCCTTTGCACTTAGGGTAGTGGTCATTCCCTGTTTTGGTGTGCATCTTGTAAGCAGCCTCTTGGCAAATTTTTAATCAAGGACAAAGGAGGGTAAATGGTTGCTGAAAATCATGAGTTTCTCTGAACTCCTTTCTGAAAATGATCTTTGCAGGTTGTCGGTGTCCCTGCAGGCTTCTTAAAATGCAAAACAAACCACCCAGCCCAACTTCCTGACTGTCACTAGTGCTTTCAAGAGACACTTCGTTTTGCTGAGTGGAAGCGAAATTGCTCTTCGCCGTCCACCAGCTCCTGGCTCTGCCTGTATCCCTTTGCAGGAGCTGCTCTGCCCGAGCACAGTGGAGAGCAGTGGGGAAAGCGTGTGGAGCCTGGCTCCTCCTGCCCTCTGCTGCTCACTTGGCAGATGCCATTAACACTGTCCACAGCATGTAGAGAGCAGGCTGGACTCAGAGAATCTTGTGGAGAGGTGACAGATGAGGTGGGCACTCCAGGGATGCTGTGTGGGGAAGGGAAAGAGGGGTGATCCCTCCTCCCTGAGCTGGCTCTGTCCCAGGAGAGATTGGGTCTGTTCTAGGAAAGGGCTGTCTGAAATGAGAACTAAAAGTGAAGGGCATAGGGGTATGGAGTCCTGAAGAGCAGTGTCTTGTAGTAGGAAGGACCAGGGAGGCTATCCAGGCAGCAGGATGGGGATGGACATGGTGGCATTTGCTCTTTTCCTCCCACCCATGTGCAACTGAGCTGTGGAAGTGGCTGCTACAAGATGCCTGGGCAGAGAGAGGTGTGTGTAGTTCAGTGTGCTTCTGTGGCCACCCAGGAGAGAGGAGGACACAACCCATTCCTTGATGCTGCTGAGCTACAGAGGTGGCCAAGCTGGACCCTGCAGCCTTCTGGTCATGCTATTCAGGTCATGCTGGTGTTTCTAGGGCAAACGAAGGAAGGTGGAGATCTCTGCAGATTATTTACCCTGTCCTAAGGAAATGAAGGCTTGTTGCAAGCTTACTGTTTATTTGTGAGTGTTCACTCTGCTTTGAACTTGCTGGATGGTGTCAGTTGTGGTAGGTGTCAGGTGTGGATGCTGCCTCTGAGGTCTTGGCTTGCTACAGGCTCTGGCTCTTTGGGAGGAAGGTGCTGCTACTTCTCCCTCTGCAGTGCAGCTCAGCCATGCTATTAGACATCAGAGAATCCACGTGGGAGAGATCGACAGGAAACTGGGCGTTATCAGTTCCGCTGCCTGTGCAGCTACTCGCTCCTCATGTCAGCATCCTCCACGTGTGTGTGGCTGGAGGCGTTTGATGGGAGTGCTGTCAGCCCGGGGGTGGGAGTGGGTGGTGTGTGATCACGGCGGAGGCGTCCTGCCTCCCCTGCCAGTGAACTCGGCTCCACCGGGTGTGTGGAGCAAGGAGGGAGCTCCTTGCTCCCCCATCTCTACGGTGAAGAGCTTCACCCTGCTGATGTTGGGGTGTCCCATGTCCTCTGGTGCTTGTGTTGGACCTTGGATAGGGTAGGGACACTCTTGCTGCTCCTCCTTCCCTGCAGTCTGAGTGATTCTGTGTTCTTGGTGCTGGTTTCTTCATGCTTTTTTTCTAGGCCCTGGGGAGAAAAGAGAAGGATCTGGGGCCTCTTTCTCTCCCTGGGCTTGTGTGAGAGGCCCAGGAGAATGTGGAGGTGAAGCACTGGCACGCTGAGTGTCGAAGAGAACACAGGGCAAACCAAGCCTCCAGTGGGAGATGTGCTCTCACTGCTGGATCACCCTGGCTAATCCTGTGTCAGACCTGACCTATATATGGGGCAAGGGAGGTGGCATGTCTGTGGCAGCAGATGGTCTCTTAAAGAGCCTGGGCTCAGGGAGACTTTGTCCTGCCGGCCCCTGGCTATCCTGAAGGAAAGGATGGGCCACCTGTTGGGTGTAGAGCAGCTAGGTTCAGCCTGAGCAGCCCCTGCAGGTAGAGAGCTTTCTAAGGCTTACAGGCTGTCCCACTCACCAGGGGTATCACAGGTCTCTGTGGCTGGACTGGGATCCCTCGTCCTGGCCCAGAAGCACTGACCAGCCTTATTGTAGCATCATTTGGGCCCCTGACATGGCTTTTCAAGCAGAGCTCTGTACTTGGGGCAGTGTGATGTTGGTGTCTGTGTGCATGCCTGTGTCCCTGAGACAGTGAGGGCAGAGCTGTTCCCACACGTTCTGATCCTGCAGCTGGACATGTGGTGCCCCATCCTCACTGGGCACAGCCGTGTGCAGTGTGGCTGTGCCAGGGCAATGACCCAGCCTGGATGGGCAGGGAGAGTGAGCAGCGTGTGAGCTGTGTTCCATCGATGGCTTCTCCTGATGCCGTCCTGAGGACATCGATAGCTGCTGCCCACGGGGGAGCTGGTGATGCTGGAGCGGGTCTGGAGGGAGTGTCTGTACAGATATCCACCATCTGTGGCCTCTGCCTGTTACCGGTGCTCTGCTCAGGATCAGACCGTGTCCTGGCAGCCCTGTGAAGGTGCAGTGCTGCCTCTGCCCACAAACAATGGCAAGGTCAAAGGATAGAGTGCTGTTTTCCTTCTCTTCCCTGTAATCCCCAGGTCCTGAAGCAAAAATGCTGTAGAGGAGCAGACCTGGAGAGTGGTTGTTCAGGTTTGGGCTGATTCAATCCTTTGGCTCTTCCTGCTGGAGTTCTTGCCTGAGTGCGTGGCTCTGACACCATCATTGGTCTGCCCTGCTGTGCTGCCTTCCTGTCCTGTGTGTCCCCTACCATGGGGACAGAAGCAGTTAGCCGTGGTGCTACTGACAGTCATGGCAGAGGGATCTTGCCCCAGAATGCTCTGTGTCCTGGAGGATCTTTGAGCCTTGTGTAGTTCCTCCTGCACGCCTGGATTTGGGGTGAAGAGGTGAGAATCTTGAGAGGGGTCTGAAAGGGACCTGGGCACAGGGCTGGAATAGGGCAAAGCTGAATCTGACTGCTCATCCCAACAATGAGCTACTGAATTGTTAAATCGTCGATCTGAGGTTTTCTTTGAAAGGGGTGATGCTACAAATTAATTAGCTCCCTTTTGGTTGTTAGCACTTTAAAGCCCAGCTGTCAGGGGAGGGCTGGTTTATAGGCATTACATCAGGGCTGCCGGCTGGCTCGCTCGCCTACCTGGGAATTTCTAAGTGTGCGTTGTAACCGGGGGAAATTTGGCTCAGATGCAGCATCTGGCGCTCAGTGAAGCTGCTGCGATGCGCTGCCCTGAGCACGGGGATTTGACTGGTGCCTGAGCGGTGCCGCTGGGGCACAAGGGGAGCCGGTGGCACAGCCTCCTGAGCTCCCGGTGGCTCGGCCTCTTGGTGTGCAGCTCCCGGGCAGCCGGTGGCTCTGCCTCTCGGTGTCCAGCTCTCAGCGTTAGCCACCAGCCGGGTGACTCGCTCAGGTGACCTGCAGGTGTGCAGATGGTCCGTGTAGTTCCTGCTTCTTGCTTAATTAATGTGAGAGAATATGAGGCTTTTCTGAAGCAAAAGGGGCTTTTCTGGTGCATAAAAGTTTGAACTGGCTACAGATGCCCTGGGAGAGCTGTCGGTGCGGGCAAAGGGCTCGATGTGCTGAGCGGGAGGGCAGTAGCTTTTCCGTGCTCCCATCCGAGCGTGGAAGGTGGCGGGGAGCCGAGCCCCTGCTCCCCCACCCCCGGGTTTTTCTGCCCACCGGCACAGAAGCACAGCGACTCCCGGGCACACAGGGCTGCCGTCCCCGCGGCCCACCGAGTCCACAGAGGTGCCAGCCCGGTGAGCAGGGGCCCGGGAGTGATGCGGGGGCACAGCCGCAAGTACGGTGCCACCAGCCTTAAGGCCTGTCCCAGCGGGGCTAGGTGGCACCAGGCCGCTTGAGAAGGGCGGTGAGTGCCCGGTTCCCCCTCCCCGTTGTGGGCCCGGCTCGGTGGTCCCGGGCGGGGGTCGCTGCCCCGCGTGGCGGCCCCGCGCTCCAAGATGGCTGCGGACCGTGACACGCCTGGTCACGTGG